TGGCAGTTAAAAGGAAGAAACAACTGCGATCACACACACTACTCCCAGAAGCACGAAGCTGAACACACCAGCCTGAAGATGACGAATGTGACTTCATCGAAACGTCGCCAAGACACTTCTAATTCTACGCGGGAGAAAACCCGAATAACTAAAGACCTACATATATATATATATATATATATATATATATATATATATATATATATATATATATATATATATATACACATATATATATATTATTGAAAATGGATGAATCCTAAATCATTCATTCTTCTGGGAGATATAAATGCTATAACAGATATCTTAAAGCCAACTTCTTAGCCCTAAATATGTTAATATAATCTGTCTGGCAATACAGTAAATTGTCTTCTTGGCCTTTTTACCAGTCAACATCATGAACTATAAATAGTTTTGATTCATAATTGAAAAGCCTCTACAGTATAACTGTGACTCTTTAACATTGATTGAAAATAAATGAATGCCACACTCCAAAGACACTTATAAATAATTTTAAGAAATAACAGATTAATGTCTTGCTGGCATCTCTCATGCTATAGAGCAACTTGAGAAATGGATTAATTAAATATAGCAAGAGTTCATAAAATAGTATGTGAATTAGGTATATACTATAAGAAGATAAAGATACTTAGAGCAAAGAGTATAACCTTGGAAATTCCAGATGTGTTTCTACAGCCCAGGTATTATTATTTAAATGTAATAGCCTGACAAAATTGAGGAAGTGAACACTTACATTTAAATTAATAGAAAAGATTTTTCTTATTCCAAATAATATATATAATAATAGAGGGAGAACTATTTGGTGATTCAAAAGCATTGACATGGAAGGTTAATTGGCAAAGGAAGAAAGCCAGAGTAAGACTGAAGAAAATAAGGGTTTTGATTTATCAGAGGGGATTTCATATTACTAATTAGAGGGTTGAATATGGTGGAAAATAGATATTTTTTTAGAAAATAAAGTAACATTATAATTGAATAGGTAAGATGTGTAACAAGACTAATACACTTTGGTATGAAAAGGGAGAAGTTGAGATAAGGAAAAGTTTGGTCACCTAATATAAAATATTTGGAAATCAGTTGAAAATAAGAATTCTGTTTGCCCAATATGAGATAATAGATATTACCAGAAAAAGAGAGGGAGTATTTGAGCTTTTAAAAATTAGATCTAAATGAAAAAAATTATGTATATTACTGATTTATTGGTTAACCCAGACAATACATATAATGGTTTTGATCTATTAGAGCAGGGGTGTGAAACTGCCGGCCCGTGGGCCAGACGCGTCATGAAGAAACTGCGCCCACCCCATTGCCGGCAATGGGGAAAAAGCTCCGATACGTCGTGCGATGTCACATGACGTCATGAGTTTGACATGTCTGTATTAGAGGGTATACTGTATTATTAATTAGATGGTTTAATATGGTGGAAAATAGATAACTTTTAGAAAACAGAATAAAACTATATTCAAATAGATAAGATGTGTATTTAGAATATTAGATTTTGTTATGAAAAGGGAAAAAGGAAGAAGATGAGATAAGGGAAACTTTGGTTACCTAAAGCTTGGAAAATATAAATACCAAATGTTAATTTGAATATTGACGGGAAATTAAAGCTTGGGAAGAAAGCAATAACTGGACATTGATTGTATATAAGGATTGAATGCAAATATAATTAAGATATGTATAAGCTAAAAATTATTGATAAATGTAACAAATATGTTTTTACTTAGTTGATAACAATAAGAACTGTATTAGCCTAATATGAGATAGTAGATATTAAGGGAAAAAGACAGGAAATATCTGATGTTGTAACTTGAGATTTATACTAAAGATTTATGTATGTTATTGAACTATTCATTAATCCAGTCACCATGTTGCTTTTTAAATACTTAATTGTAAAATTAGAAAACTGATAAAATATTATAAAAAAATAAATAAATAAATTCATAGAAATGTTTGTAATATTTGATTGGGCTTCACAACAATCCTACAGAAATCTGTCTCAATCAGACTAGGATTCTTATAGCCCATTACTCCTAGGTAGGATTCATTTCCAACTCTGTAATTAGGATATTTTTAGCTGGGAGCTAATGTCTGTACCTATGGGAATCATTCATGCCTTAATACAAATTATCTATTTATGAATATATATATTCAAATTTCTTTTTTGTTGACAAAGGGTTAAAGAGTTAAATGGGAGACTAGAATAGCTATTTCGAGCTTATTTTGCTCTCATCATCTAGCCATACCCTCTATGGGATTCGAACCGGGCAGCCTGCATGCTAGGCAGTTGTATTAACCTCCAGGCCACCAGCTACTTGAGCCTGCTTAATGCCCCTAGTTTGGGCTGCAAGGCAAAAGTGATTATAAGTAGAACTGCAGTATAGCAGTCAAAATACCAAGGTGTGTGTGTGTGTGTGTGTGTGTGTGTGTGTACACACACACACATATATATGTATGTGTGTATATATATAAGGACCCACTTCAATCCACATATTAAGAAAGCAGAACTACAATTCGATGTTTTAAAATGTCCCTAAGAAGCTTCCCGACCCCGCAGTTCTTCCGGGCGATTCAAACCGGCAGATTTCTAGGTGTCAACTCCAGGAGAGATAACATCAGTTCAGCTCCGTTGGCACGATCATTCAACATCTCCTCACACAGATCCCAGATGCTGCATCTCCTCCCCCCCTTTCTCTCACTGGCCGGTAAGGGAGAAGTTCAGAGGAGTATAGGATGAAAGGCAAATGGCTACATTGTTATGGTTAGCATATCCGAAGCAAATCAACAAAAGGTTACTTTGTAGTGAATAGAGGAAGTGAAAGTAATAAAAAACCCATGCATACCCCCCTCCCCCTTAGTAGTATGACAGAATCCAGGAGAGAGTAAGAATTGGTTTTATATCAGAGGAGATAGATAGAAATGAAATATAACTGGATTCTGACATGCAGGATATATTGACCTGAGGGCCATTAAAGCAATAGGCAAAGTGATCCATATGTTCTTAAACAGCTCTGACTTCAGACCTTCAGAAAACCTCTAGCAACTGATAAGTACTGCACAATTAAAGTGACAATGGAGTCATGCATGCTATTTTTGTTTTCATTTATTTTACATTCTTGTCTCATAAAGAAAAGCTGAAGTACGTTCATTTATACATTTTCTATTTGTTGCCTTGCATCTTTGACTGGAAATTATCAACTTTGATGTTGAATAGAACTGACCCAATGAGACTCTGTTGCACTCTAGGGGTGCTTTGACTCATGACTCATGCCCCAGGTAGTAGTTGTGGCTAGGAATGCTTTCGTGCAACTTTGAGCTATGCACCTATTGCACCCATTCTTGGATCAGGAGACTACTCTCTGCCATTCATGTCCTGGTCATCTCTTGGATGGATTCCTGTAATGAGTTGTACAGGAGCTGTCTTTGAAAAACATCTGGAAACTAAAGCTGGTGCAAAATGTAGTGCAGGAGTAATGTGCATACCAAAATTAGTACATGTTAAACCTCTGCTCTGTGAACTTGATTGGTTGTCAGTTTGCTTCCATGCTCAATTTAAAGTGCTAGTTGTGACTTATAAAGATCTACAAGACATGGAACTGGATTATTTGAGGGACCATCTCTCTCCAGTTATAGTTATCCATCCCATCAGACCTGGCAAATGGGTTATGTTATGGGTCCCATCCACCAAGAGTTTCATCTGACAGGAACCAGGACCTGCCATGGCACCCATCTTCTGGAACATCCTCTTCTCTGAGGTTATATTGGCCCCAATTTGCTGGCCTTTAGGAAGTTCCTGAAGATATGGCTGTGCCATCAGGCCCGGGGATCCCTTAAAGATGAGGGGACTGCAAGGTGGTTGTACTGTTTGTGAATTGTTTGTTGGCACTCTCCTGCATTTTTTTATGCCTTAGGTTAATCAGTTTTCATTGCTTAACTTTATTTATATGAGTGTGATATTTTGCTATAAGCTGCCTACAATCACATATGTGAGGAGGAGGAGGAGGAGGAGGAGGAGGAGGAGAAGAAGAAGAAGAAGAAGAAGAAGAAGAAGTTGTAGTAGTAGTAGTAGTAGTAGTAGTAGTAGTAGTAGTAGTAGTAGTAGTAGTAGTAGTAGTAGTAGTCCTTTACCTCCATTAGGCCTACTTAGGACAGCGGCAGCATTTGTGTAGTATTTTCTAGTGTTCAGCATGCTTCATATCCTCGTACCCTTTACTGGTAACCTGGCATCCTTACATACAAGTACATCATCTATTTTTTCAGTTAAAAAGTTACAGTATTAACATTATAAAATATTTACCAGATATTTGATGCTGACTTTTAATTTACAGATGGCTATCCACAAGAGGAAATGGTTTACAGATGGAGAAAAAACTCAGTAGAAGCTGCAGATCAGAAATCTTGGAGACTGTATCAGTTTGACTTCATGGGACTCAGAAATACTTCTGACATTGTGCAAACATCAGCAGGTAATAAATAAGAATTTCCTGTTCTGGAGCTTGAAAGATTCACTGCATCCATTTTTCTGTCTAGTATATATTGTGGTCACAATAAAAAATATACACACCTGCATGAATTATAGGAGGCAAGAGGAGAAAGCCAACCCCTTAATTCTTGTGATAATTTTGAATCAATTTAAAGAAGATCAATTCATAAATATTACAGAGCTATAGCTTCTCATGGGACATATTACTGAAAATGGGTTACAAAAAGGTGGTGGATAATTTAAAACAATGTATGTCAAATATAGATATGCAACTAATTTTTTTCAGTTTTTCTTACATATGTGTTTTGAGTAGTGTTCTCATCATTTTAGACCAGCAAGTTATCTAAATCAGATAACTATTCCCAAAACTAAAAAAGTATTAACCTTAGCTTGCTTTAGTGCTCTGTGAAGAATGTAGTTGAAGGAATATCGATCTATCTATCAATCTATCGATCTGTCATCTATCATCTGTCCTCTGTCTATCATCATTAGCTATATCTCTATATCTATCTTCTATCTACCTATCTTAAATAAAATCCCCTATTTTTTCAGACTGATCTTGTGATGAAGAGATGGTGGAACACTTACTGCAATACATATATTACTTTACTGATTATTCTATAAAGATGCACAGTTCATTTTATGATCCCTTTATTCACTGAATTTCCAGATCACCCAATTAATTCTTTATTACAACCATAGACCAGCATATAAATTTTTTTTCTGTACAATTGTTGTTAACTGACCAATATCATTCATTCTTTGAATGTGGCCAAATTTTGTATTATTGTCTAAAACTTATTTCCATAAATTGTATTGACAAGGACATGACTGTTTATTATTATTTTTACCAAAAAAAATTCTATAATATTTTGGTTTAGTTTATTCATTATATCTTAACTTTTATGTTTTTCTAAATGCAATACTGAACATTGATTCTAATAAAGGGCTAATAAAAGACTGACTAAAAAAACAAGTTTAGATAATCCTTGCCTTGTACATTGAACAGGTGATGACCAATTCAATGTAATACAAAAATCATTATATATTACTGTTGCAAATGCATGATAAGTGATAGTTGTATATCCTAATATTCTTGGTTTCATAAACTTAAAGTTACCATTCAGAGGGTACACTTTTTCATGGTAATAAAGTGCCCAAATGAATCCACTGCTTGACATGCCAATTCCAGAAAACTTCTCTCCTATACATGCATATCTATATGGAGACAATGAGGGAAGACCCTTGAAAGATCCCAAGCAAAAACTTCCAAAGACCCAGTGCCTCACTGCTTCAAGCATCAGGTTCAGAAAAATGCTTGATTTCTTCACAGGCGTTTTGCCTGCTCTAGTATGAACCAGTGAATAGAGAGATCTCTTTTCTTTCCTTCATAATAATATATTTACAACACAGGTGTCACCTAAATAAATAAAAAGTAGAGGTATTTCTCCAAATTATAATGATTCATTAGCAGTGACTCTTAACTCAGTGTTTTATAAATTAATGGACAATTGACAAACAACTCACCTTGGTAACTAAGTGAATGTTCATTTGCAGGAGCAGTACGTTTTTGGCAATCAGATCTGGGTGTAACCAGCTTTAAGTGAAGTGTTCCATCATCCAGTGGTACATAGTTTTGGGGTATCTGGTCCTCTCTGAGCTTGGTGGTCTTCTTGCAGAGGTTTCATTACCAAACTAGATAACACCAAGGACAATTCAACTGAGCTACAAACATTGTTTTCTATTAGTATACAATATAGCTTGCTGGTGTTGTAGCAACATCTTGGACTAGATAGGTATTGGTCTGACCTATTAAGATGATTCGGTGATGCTCTTATGGCAGCCCTGACCATCTATTAAATAAAATGAGAGTTAGGATTTTAATATATGTTCTATTGCTATTTGAGAACATATCTGCATTAAAGCAATTTACTGTGTTATTTTTGAATGTTGCAATGAATATCCCAGTTTATTAGTAATCTGCAGTCTTTGACAGATGTATTCTCAGGTCAGATATGGATTTCAATCTTATAAAAATCTGCCACTGTCACAAAGAAATCCAAGTCTAAAACAAGTTGATTGGATTTTTTATTTCTGTCCATATGTCTTTTCACTTGTCTTCCATTCTTTAAACTTAATTGCTTAATAAATGCCCCAATATATATTAATTGTAGGTATTTTTCAGATTTTGTCATTTATTCTTGATGTCGTTTTTCATTCATATGTCATATCATTTTTAAGATGTAGTCAAAGGAAACAGCAGGTAGCAAGATCACTGATAGTTGATTATTGTTGAACAGCCCAGAGTGTACTATATTAGTTGAACTGGTTAAATAAGACATTTCCCTTATTATTTAATCTTTTCTACAGGGTTTGGTAGAATGTGTTTTTCCTCCCCTCCAAAACATTTTAAAGACTTGGAAAATTGCCAAGGTAATGAATGCTCCCCCCCCCCATTGCCCTTATCAACAGACTTTAATTTAAACTTAATGGAACTCATTTTAGTGCTAGCACAAACTATTGTCCAGTGTGATAGTAAATGCAGAAGTATGCATGGGGATCTATGGATTAACCACTCTAGAAATTAAGATTTGTTATTTTTGCTCAGGGAAGGAGTTCCATTCTTACTAATGGTTACACTTGGTGAAGAGATAGTGCTATCCTGATACCAACATAATATCTGTATATCTTAAATAAAATCAGGTTTGGAAGGTAAAAGAGAAAAGAAAAATGCTTCACTTTTCATATTGCTATGCAAGGATCCTTGTGTAACTCATGCTACAAACCTTGTAATACAGGGACAGGCCATAATGCTCCATCCATTTCTCTCTGCTTTGATAACTTAAGGAAAGGTGGGCTACATAAACCTTTCTGAAAGCCATTAAGACAAGATAATGCTACATATTGACTACTCCAAATAGATGTACTCCTGTTTCATAACCCATTTTTTTCTTTTCTGATTGCTACATAGAGTTACAAATCTCCTTTATCTTCTACATCCATTTGAAATACTCTAAGGTGCGGGGATGATTTTACACATTTTTGGAGTCGTAAACAAAAAGGTCATTAAGAGCCCATATGGAAGACAGATTCTATAAAGCTTTTCCTCTTTTTGAGCACATGATATTAAGAAAGTTAACTAAAGCACCTCACTGATTGTCTGTTTTTGATACTGTTGTTCCTTTTCCTGGGGAGATCTGGGTTTTCTGAAGGGGGAAAATGTTGAGGGCTTACTTACTAAAAATAGTCTGTATCTAAGATTACTGTGTATGGAGCCCTGGTGGTACAGTGGTTATAATGCAGATTGCTGGCAAACTCTGCCCACAGGCTAGAGCTCGATCCTGACAGAGCTCAAGGTTGACTCAGTCTTCGATCATTCCAAGATCAGTAAAATGAGGACCCAGATTGTTGGTGGCAATATGCTGACTTTGTAAACTGGGGCTCCAGTTCTATAAAGCACTAAGGGGCAGTATATAAGTCTAAGTGCTCTTGCTCTCTCTCTCTCTCTCTCTCTCTCTCTCTCTCTCTCTCTCTCTCTCTCTCTCTCTCTCTCTCTCTCTCTCTCTCTCTCTCTCTCTGTGTGTGTGTGTGTGTGTGTGCGCGCACACACATATGTGTGTGTGTACATGTGTATAAATCTCTCTTTGTAATGACCTTCAAAAAAGGAAAAAAAATGGAACCAGGAAACTACAGACCCATCAGCCTGATCTCAATACCTGGGAAGTTTCTGGAAAAGATAATCAAGCAAAGAATTAGCAAACACCTAGAGGCAAACAAAGTCATAACCAAAAGCCAACATGGGTTTGTCAAAAACAAATCATGCCAGACAAATCTTATTGCATTTTGTCCAGGTGACAAAATTTGTGGACCAGAGGAATACTGTGGATATAATTTACTTGGACTTCAGTAAGGCATTTGATAAAGTAGACCACAACCTACTACTTGATAAGATAGAAAAATGTGGGTTAAACAGCATCACCACCAGATGGATTCATAGCTGGCTAACTGGACGTACTCAGTATGTGGTCCTCAATGGAACTGCATCTACATGGAGGGAAATGTGTAGTGGGGTGCCCAAGTGCTCTGTCCTGAGCCCAGTGCTCTTCAACATCTTCATCAAAGATTTGGATGAGGGAATAGATGGGGAACTCATCAAATTTGCAGACAACACCAAGCTGGCAGGAGTAGCTAACACTCCAGAAGATAGGCTTAAGAAACAGAAGGATCTTGACAGACTTGAATATTGGGCACTATCTAATAAAATGAAATTCGATGGTGAAAAAAGTAAGGTTCTACATTTAGGCAAGAAAAACCAAATGCACAGGTACAGTATAGGTGGTACCTTGCTCAATAGTAGTGACTGTGAGAGGGATCTCAGAGTCCTAGAGGACAATCACTTAAATACGATCCAGCAGTGTGCTGCAGCTTCCAAAAAAGCCAACAGAGTGCTAGGATGCATTAATAGAGGGATAGAATCAAGATCACGTGAAGTGTTAATACCATTTACAGTGCCTTGGTAAGGCCACACTTGGAATACTGCATCCAGTTTTGATCACCACGATGTAAAAAAGATGTTGAGACTCTAGAAAGAGTATAGAGAAGAGCAACAAACATGATTAGGGGACTGGAGGCTAAAACATATAAAAACGGTTTCTGGAATTGGGTATGTCTAGTTTAATGAAGCGAAGGACTAGGGGTGACATGATAGCAGTGTTCCAATATCTCAAAGACGAGGGAGTCAAGCTATTTTCCAAAGCACCTGTATGTAGGACAAGAAGCAATGGATGGAAACTAATCAAAGAGAGAAGCAACTTAGAACTAAGGAGAAATTTCCTGACAGTTAGAACAATTAACCAGCTACCTCCAGAAGCTGTGAATGCTCCAACCGTTAGAAGTTTTTAAGAAAAGACTGGACAGCCATTTGTCTGAAATGGTATAGGGTTTCCTACCTGAGCAGGGGGTTGGACTAGATGACCTCCAAGG